CGTCACCAGCCACTTCACCTTCTCTGAAGCGGAGGGGAGGAGTCGCTTGCCGCAGCGCCCCATGGGGTTTGTAGTTCTGCCGGCTGCACACAAAAGGCAGCGCGCCTTTTCCCCCTCCCTCCCCCCCAGCTTTGGCAATGGGAGACGCCTCGCATGCTGCCTCCCTCGCCCCAACCCTGCCGGCCCTTCCCGTCCCTGAAATCGCAGAGGCGGCCAAGTCTCCCCGCCCTGACACAGAGCTCGCGCTCCGAGTGCCACGTAACCTATCCGAGACCGGGAACTGCACACTGGAAGGAAGTGTGCGCGGCACAGCTCATTCTGCAAAACACAGACACAGACACACACTCGCCCCTTCCAATTCGGGGAGGCTGAGCGTTGCAAGCCGCCGCATGCTGGCTCCGAAACCCGTTCAATTAATGTTTTTCCCCCAGGAAGGGAGTGTAAAATACAAGTGTGTAAAACAGGCTTTTAGGGTTGCATTTAAGCCCGATTGCACCAGGACACTGCAGCTGACCGAAGAAGCTCCACTGAGAGGCGCGCCAAAGCTGCAACGGGTGGGAGACCTTCCTAGCCGACTCTCCCAGAAACGGTTTCAGGTTTAATGGACCAACAGGGACAAGGACACGACCAGCCGCATCTGTCGAGAAGGGACGGTTGCTCCCGCCGGCAGGTGGCCGTACCTCTGAGTTGCCAGCTGTTCCTCGCACCACCTCGCCACAGTAATTGCTGAGGCTATTCAACCCCACCTGCCCCCTCCTTTTGAGACAAGAACTGCTACGTCCAGGAGCCTCGAAACGGGCAGCGCAAGGAACGACCGAGATGACCAGATGTGATCCGGAGGACAGCGGACGAGCGAGGCTGCCCCTCCACACTGAGTCACAGAGTAGGACGCGCCTTCTAGCTTGCTTGCTTTCCCCCCCTCCTCTACGCTAGCGAATAGGTAGTTTCTCTCCACCTTCGACAGAGATTTACGAGCGAGAGACTCAAACGAACACTTTCCTCACCGGAATCCGCCAAGCAGTCTGTGGTGCGGAGATGCAACTGCCTACACGCTTGCGTATTTTTCACACGTATTGTACACTGATTCAGGCGAGACGAGAACTCTGCACTGCATTTACCGCCCCCGCCCCGGGAACGGGAGTGAGGAGGAGCGCGCATCCCTCGCGGCAACCGAGGGGCTAAAGGCTCACGCCCTGCTTCTTGAAATCAGTTCTGGCTTTCCTGGTGTTAACCGTCCCCTGCGGTCCCTATGTCAGTGTCACTCTGAGGCATCTTCCCTCCTAACATCCACCCAGCCCTCCCCACAGGGGCTCCGGCAGCCGCACTGGGGTCTTGGAGCGCCTCGCCTTCTCCCGCCTCTCACCTCGAACATGAGCCCCAGCAGGAAGACCATGGCCATGCAGGAGACGATGTCCGCGTGGTTCTGCACGACGAACTCGTGGCTGAGCACGGGAGGGTTCTTGTTACTCTTCTTGCGGATCGCCATGGCGAGCCCCTCCTCGGCCCCGTCTCGGTGGCCTCTCCCTCCGTCTCCTCGGGTGTCTGCGGAGGGGCCCGAAAAGAAGAAAGCTCAGGCAGCCGCTCCGCCCAACTTCGCCTCCGCCTTTTTCGGTCGACTCTCTAGCCCCAGCGTCGGGCACAACCGTCACTCGCCTTTTCCGGCCCCTCCACTCGAACGGAGGGCCCTCCGTCCCTGCGGGGCGCCGCAGACAATGTGCGACCGCACCACCTTAC